CTATCGCCTTGTTGGCACCGAATTCGACGGCATGTAGGATCAGCAGCGTGCGTCGCCATTCTAATACCTGGCGACAATCCGAGAAGTGGCTGATCAGTCTTCGTAACGCGGGGGCAACTTGCTTCCAGCGCACTTGAAAGCCGGGGCTCGGCGCGGCAGCCCTGTGCCCTTATGCCGCTTTCCGACCGGGGTAGAAGCGGTGGACAGAGGGTGCTGGGCAGTGAGATCGGGCAATTTTACCGACACCTGCCAAGATGTCTTGAGCTACGGTGCAATACTTTACCTCACGAAACCCAATTCGGAGATCGAGCAGGACGCGGAGCAAACGCAGACGAACTGGACTCGCTGATGCTGCCGTGGCTCATGGAACACGACAAACACGAGATCTTCGAACGCGCCCAGAAGCGCGGGTTGGCGTTTTCGTACGTTGCCACTCCTGAAGACATTCTCGGGTGGGAGCACCTGGACACCAGGGGTTTCTTTGAGGAAATCGAGCACCTGGACGGGGGCTCGTACCGTCATCCTACCGGGCCATTCAGAACAGACGAGATGAGTTGGCGATTGGAGCCGGCTCCCACTTTGGGAGCACACAACCGTGAGTCATCTGTGGTCTCCTGGGATATTCCAAGGGCGACCTGATCCGGCTACGGGGGATGAGGGTGATGTAGCTTTCGCCGACTGGGCTTTTGCCAGTTTAGTGGCACCTCATGCTACTCGACTTCCAATGTGTGGATTCCCGCTTTCGCGGGAATGACGGAGTTGCCAGCCTATGAAGATCGTAGTTGAATTGTGGTAGTCTCGAAATGGAGTTGATCGTGTCCGACTGAGATGTGAGGTCCAGTTTGAATGTCCAACACAGTCCTCGTAGTCGAAGATGAGCCCAACCTCCTGATGGCGTTGAAGTACACCCTGGAGCAGGAAGGGTACGACACCCTGACTGCTGTCGACGGTGAGTCCGGGCTGAGAATCGCGCAGTCGAGGAGCCCAGATCTGGTGATACTCGACGTTATGCTGCCCAGCCTGGACGGGTTCGAGGTGTGCCGTATCCTACGCCGGCAGTCGAACATCCCGATACTGATGCTGACCGCACGCGGGGAGGAAGTGGACCGCGTCGTCGGTCTCGAGCTGGGCGCGGACGACTACGTGACCAAGCCGTTCAACATGAGAGAGCTACTTGCGAGAGTCCGCAACATGCTGCGGAGGTCTTCTACTCCAGCCCTGGAGAGTTCGCCAGGGGACGATGAGGTCATCAGGTCAGGTAACCTCAAGATCGATCTGGCCAGTCACTCAATCACCCTCGATGATGAGGATCTCGCGGTGAAGCCGCGAGAGTTTTCGCTAATATCGCTGCTCGCCGCAAACAGAGGGCGTGCATTTACAAGGGACCAGATCCTAGAACGGCTGTGGGGGCACGATTACATCGGAGACTCCCGCACGGTCGATGTTCACATACGCTGGCTTCGAGAGAAGATCGAACCAGAGCCTTCGCAGCCCCGACGAATAGTGACGATTCGTGGCGTTGGCTACCGATTCGACGGATGACCGATGAAGTCGCGAGGTCAACTCAAGCGATCGGTCCTTGCCTACATTGCTGTACCACTTCTGGCATTGAGCGTGACAGTGATGCTGATCGCGTTTCTTGGTCTGGGCTGGCAGGTCTCTGTCGATAGGACGGTAGCCGCTCTGGGGATACTGTGCAGCGGTGCCGGACTCGCTACGGTCATTTACATTCTCGTGAGAGCGTGCAGCGACGCTGGCGTTATGAGAAACGTAGCCGAGGGCGCCAGGCGGATGGCGGATGGCGAGCTGGACCAGAGGGTCACTTCAATTTCTCCGCAAAGAAGTAACCAACTGGTCGAAGAGTTCAACCGGATGTCGAACGTGGTCGACTCGAGGGTAAGCAACCTAGAGGCCGAACGTCACCAAATGACGATTGCCATAGACACCATGGCAGACGGCGTGATCGTCATCGACTCAGAGACACGAATCACGTTAATCAACAGGTCCGCCGAGTGGCTATTGAGTGTCAGCGCGCAGAACGCCAAGGGGCGTCCCCTGGCGCAGGTCGTGAGAGACCCACAGATACTGCGCGTGGCATCCACTGCCGCCAATACACGCCAAATACAGAGGGCTGACATAGACCTTCTGCACCAGCGGCGATTCCTTGACGTAATCGCAACACCCGTCTCTGGCCGCGACAGGGATGACGTTGTACTCACCCTCCAAGACGTCACGAGGCAAATGCAGATCGAGACGACGCGGCGAGAGTTTGTGAGCAACGTATCTCACGAGCTGCGCAGCCCACTTGCATCAGCAAGCGCGTTGGTTGAGATCCTGGAATCAGGCGCAATTGACGACAGGAAAACCGCTATTGATTTCCTCCATCGGATTCGCGGCGACGTGGCTCGAATGACCACGCTTGTCGAAGAGCTTCTAGAGCTTTCCAGACTAGAGAGCGGGCACATGCCAGTGCATCTGGCTCCGATGAAGTTGGAAGAGGTAATCGAGGAGATAGCCAAGCGGTTCCACTTTGCGGCGGCTTCAAACGGTATTGAACTGGTCAGCTACCAATCGCCGGGGCTGCCTTACGTCATGGGCGAGCGGCGCAGGCTGGAACAGGTGCTGACTAATCTTGTCGAGAACGCGCTCAGGTTCACGGGTTCCGGAGGCAGGATCACCCTCTCCGCCAAGGCTGAACCCGACTGGGTTGTCGTGACGGTCACGGACACCGGAGTAGGAATCCCACGAGAGCACCTTCCGCATGTGTTCGAGCGCTTTTACAAGGTCGAAAGGTCTCGCAGAGACCATGGGACGGGGCTCGGCCTCGCAATATCGAAGCACCTCGTACAGGCGCATGGCAGCGACATCAGCGCCACGAGCGTCGAGGGCGAGGGCAGCGAGTTCACGTTCAAGCTCAGAAGGGCGATTTGAACTTCACTGAAGCACTCCTGCTGGGATCTCTCCAGGGAGTAGCTGAGTGGCTCCCGGTCAGCTCCGAGGGCCTGGTCACGGCGGCCTATTCGCTGGTATGGGGCGGAGACCTGTCCGAAGCGGTTGGATTCTCGCTGTGGCTACACCTTGGCACGGCCATATCCGCGCTCGCAGCGTTCAGGTCGGAAGTCGCGCTCTTAGCCATGGACGTCGTGAGGTCTCCCCGATCGCCGGGACCGCTCACAAAATTCTTTGTTGCCGCAACCGTTGTGAGCGCTCCAATTGGGTTTCTGCTGCTGGTAGGCCTGGAGGGATTCTCGGAACGAGCCGGGGGGCTGGCGATGTCAGTCGTAGGGATATTCATGATAGTAACGGCGGCAATTCTGTACATTGGTCGCTCGGTAGAGAGACGCGGGCGACTTGGCGTTACATGGTTGGACGGAGGATTGACAGGCATTGCGCAGGGGCTCGCCGCACTTCCAGGACTGAGCAGGTCAGGTCTCACCCTCTCCGTGCTGCTCGGACGCGGGATCGACAGGGGCGACGCACTGACGCTTAGTTTCCTGCTCAGCATTCCGGTCAGCATTGGCGCCGGAATCTACGCAGGCGTGCGCACCGGTGCACATGCCTCTCCTGAAGCCGGAGTTGCGCTGGTCGCGGCGGCAGCGGTCGGATATGTCTCGATCAGAGCATTGCTCAAGCTGGCGCAGAGTTTCAACTTCGGGTGGTTTGTAGCTCTCGCAGGCATCGTCATCATAGTCGGAGGTTTGTGGCAAGCGTTTGCATGATCACGGAGTTGCTAATCATGCATTATCAGGCTCCTAACCTTCTCTTAACTTCTTCTTAATTGTCCGTTCATACGCTCGCGTTAGAGTGTTGCATCGAGTGTAGGAGCCGAGAGGCGATTCTGTCATTGGCCGACCGAACTCAGAAGTAAATTGAACTCAAGATCGCGGAGGTATGAGCAACCATCATGTTAAGCGAGATGCGAGCCAAGATGTTCGGACTGCCAGGGCTGCTCGTATTGGCAATTGTAATTGGAGCCTTGATAGTGGCCGCATGCGGCTCGGAGAGTACCTCCGAGGCGCGTCGGCCCCAGCCCAGCCCGCCGCTGCCCAACCGGCTGCCCCCGGAACAGGCACAACCCCGCAGCGCCTGCTCGGATGCCCTACGGCGACCGCGCTCGACCCGATGGTGGGAAAGCTCTGTCCTACAGACCATGATAATGAGCGAGCTACGTCCGTGCCGGGTTGCGCGGTACGATTGAGATCGATGGCTCCAGTACTGTGGCTCCGATCACAGAGGCCGTCGCTGAGGAGTTCAGGAGCGTCGCGCCAGACGTGCTAGTCAACGTCGGAATCTCCGGCAGCGGCGGGGGATTCAAGCAGTTCACGGTCGGTGAGACCGACATCTCCGACGCCTCCAGGCCAATCAAGGAGAATGAAGCCGCGACAGCGGCCGAGAACGGCGTCGAGTACTACGAGTTCCTCGTCGGACTTGACGGACTCTCGGTCATGGTCAACCCACAGAACGACTTTGTAGACTGCATGACTGTTGACCAGCTGAACATGCTGTGGAAGCCGGAAAGTACTATCACCAAATGGAGCGACCTAGATTCATCGTGGCCTGACAGGAAGATCAACCTGTACGGTCCGGGCACAGATTCCGGCACCTTCGACTACTTCACAGAAGAGGTAAACGGCGAGGCCAAGCTGTCTCGCGCCGACTACACAGCGTCAGAGGACGACAACGTACTCGTCCAGGGCATCAGTGGCGACAGGAACGCGCTCGGCTACTTCGGCTTTGCCTACTATGCAGTCAGTGCCGACAAGTTGAAGCTCCTTGATATAGACAACGGCAACGGCTGTGTCGCTCCTACCATCGAGACAATTGCAAGCGGAACCTACTCACCTCTCTCCAGGCCGCTGTTCATCTACGTCAACAAGGAGCGCGCGCAGCAGAGGGCTGAACTGCGCTCGTTCGTAGAGTTCTACATGGAGAACGGCGCACAGCTCGCTGAGGAAGTCGGCTACGTACCCCTGCCGCAGGCGAGCTATCAGCAGAACCTGGCCGTCCTGAGCGGGCAACAGGTCATGATGGAAGCCGGGCCCAAGGTCGCGCTGAGCGGGACGATCGAGATAGACGGCTCCAGCACTGTCGCACCGATCACAGAAGCTGTCGCTGAGGAGTTCAGGAAGGAACAGCCGGGCGTCCTCGTGAAGGTCGGCATCTCCGGCAGCGGCGGCGGTTTCAAGCGATTCATGGTCGGCGAGACCGACGTCTCCGACGCCTCCAGGGCAATCAAGTCCAGTGAGGCAGCTACAGCGGCAGAGAACGGTATCAGCTACTTCGAGTTCCTCGTTGGCGTCGATGGACTGTCCGTCATGGTCAACCCGGATAACGACTTCGTGAACTGCCTAATGATTGAGCAGCTAAACATGCTGTGGAAGCCGGAGAGTACAATCAGCAAGTGGAGTGACATAGATTCATCGTGGCCTGACAGGGACATCAACCTGTACGGACCGGGCACTGACTCCGGCACCTTCGACTACTTCACAGAAGAGGTAAACGGCGAGGCCAAGCTGTCTCGCGCCGACTACACAGCGTCAGAGGACGACAACGTACTCGTCCAGGGCATCAGTGGCGACAGGAACGCGCTCGGCTACTTCGGCTTTGCCTACTATGCAGTCAGTGCCGACAAGTTGAAGCTCCTTGATATAGACAACGGCAACGGCTGTGTCGCTCCTACCATCGAGACAATTGCAAGCGGAACCTACTCACCTCTCTCCAGGCCGCTGTTCATCTACGTCAACAAGGAGCGCGCGCAGCAGAGGGCTGAACTGCGCTCGTTCGTAGAGTTCTACATGGAGAACGGCGCACAGCTCGCTGAGGAAGTCGGCTACGTACCCCTGCCGCAGGCGAGCTATCAGCAGAACCTGGCCGTCCTGAGCGGGCAACAGGTCATGATGGAAGCCGGGCCCAAGGTCGCGCTGAGCGGGACGATCGAGATAGACGGCTCCAGCACTGTCGCACCGATCACAGAAGCTGTCGCTGAGGAGTTCAGGAAGGAACAGCCGGGCGTCCTCGTGAACGTCGGCATCTCCGGCAGCGGCGGCGGTTTCAAGCGATTCATGGTCGGCGAGACCGACGTCTCCGACGCCTCCAGGGCAATCAAGTCCAGTGAGGCAGCTACAGCGGCAGAGAACAGTATCAGCTACTTCGAGTTCCTCGTTGGCGTCGATGGACTGTCCGTCATGGTCAACCCGGATAACGACTTCGTGAACTGCCTAATGCTTGAGCAGCTAAACATGCTGTGGAAGCCGGAAAGTACAATCAGCAAGTGGAGTGACCTAGATTCATCGTGGCCTGACAGGGACATCAACCTGTACGGACCGGGCACTGACTCCGGCACCTTCGACTACTTCACAGAAGAGTAACGGCGAGGCCAAGCTATCCCGCGCTGACTACACTGCGTCCGAGGACGACAACGTTCTGGTGCAAGGCATCAGCGGTGACAGGAACTCGCTAGGCTACTTCGGTTACTCATACTACGCGGCCAATACCGATAAGCTAAAGCTGGTAGCGGTCGACAGCGGGAACGGTTGCGTGACCCCGTCGCTCGACACTATCGCGAGCGGACAGTACACACCTCTGTCGAGGCCGCTGTTCATATACGTAAGCAGCGAGAGCCTGCAGAGGCCTGAGGTCAAGGGATTCGTCGAGTTCTACATGCTGCACGGTCAGCAGTTGACTGGCGAAGTCGGATACGTGCCGCTGGCGACCCATGCGTACCAGAACAACCTGAACGTAGTGCAGGCGTCCGTCCGTCCCGAAGGGTCCCTCACTGGGACGATTGAGATCGACGGCTCAAGTACCGTCGCCCCGATTACAGAAGCTGTCGCAGAAGAGTACCGTAAGGAACAACCCGGCGTGCTCGTGAACGTTGGCATCTCAGGCAGCGGCGGCGGTTTCAAGCGATTCACCGCTGGCGAGACCGACATCTCCGATGCCTCCAGAGCCATCAAGGACAGTGAGGCGTCCGCCGCCAAGGAAAACGGCATCGAGTACTACGAGTTCCTGGTGGGCGTTGACGGCTTGTCCGTCATGGTCAACCCTCAGAACGACTTTGTGAACTGCATGACCACCGAGCAGTTGAACATGCTCTGGAAGCCTGAGAGCACGATCGATTCGTGGAACGACCTCGACCCGTCTTGGCCTGACAGGCAGATCAACCTATACGGACCGGGAACGGACTCCGGGACGTTCGACTACTTCACCGAAGAGATTAACGGCGAGTCGAAGCTGTCACGAGCGGATTACACGGCCTCGGAGGACGACAACGTCCTGGTCCAGGGCGTCAGTGGTGACCGGAACTCACTCGGCTACTTCAGCTTCGCATACTACGCAGCCAACGCCGACAAGCTGAAGCTAGTTGCGGTCGATAGCGGAAACGGCTGTGTCACGCCGTCTCTCGACACCATCGCAAACGGGAGCTACTCTCCCCTGTCGAGGCCGCTGTTCATATACGTGAACAAGTCCAGTCTCGAAAGGCCCGAGGTCAGAGACTTCGTGAGGTTCTACATGCTAAACGGGCAGTCGCTAACGGCCGACGTAGGGTACGTTCCGCTGTCAAAGCAGTCCTACCAGAACAACATGGCCCTGTTGAAGTAGCGGAAGTCTGAAGAATCACAGGGGAGGAACTGATCCCCCGTTCCTCCCTGTTAATGTAAGATAACGGGCGGCGAGGCGATTGCCTTTCCAGGTAGCCCTCACCGCCCGTTGTCGCATCTGAGGAATTCGGATGGAGGCACAGGTGGAATCCACAGCACCAGGCGCCCGTAAAATGCCCGCGAGTTCGCGCAACGAAGTAGATACTGGCAGATTCCGCCGAGGCCGCGGGAGCAGCATCGAAGGTACGATCATCCGTTGGACATTCTTCGGCTGCGCGCTCATTTCGATCTTCACCACACTGGGAATCGTCTTTATCCTGATCGGCCAATCGATCGGGTTCTTCAGTGAGGTGTCCATCGTCGAGTTCTGACGGGAACGCGGTGGACTCCGATTCTCAAGCCAACGGCTTTTGGTGTCTTACCGTTGGTGGCCGGGACATTACTGGTGACCGTGCTTGCGGCAATGGTAGCCATTCCAGTTGGACTTGGCACTGCGATTTACCTCGCCGAGTATGCCCCGGACAAGGCTCGCAGGGTCCTTAAGCCTCTGATCGAGATACTTGCAGGGATACCGACCGTCGTTTACGGCTACTTCGCGCTGACGTTCGTTACGCCTCAACTCCAGAGGCTGTTCCCAGACATGATCGTGTTCAACGCGCTGAGCGCGGGCGTCGTCATGGGAGTCATGATAATCCCGATGGTGTCCTCACTCAGCGAGGACGCGATGATCAGCGTGCCGAGGTCGCTTCGGCAGGCATCGTACGCTCTGGGGGCGACGAAGTTGGAGACGAGCATCAAGGTCGTCGTTCCGGCAGCGCTGTCTGGAATAGTGGCGTCGTTCATACTCGCGATTTCGCGGGCCATTGGAGAGACGATGCTGGTGACCATCGCAGCGGGAGCTACCCCACGTATAACAGCAAATCCGCTTGAGAGCATCCAGACGATGACGGCGTACATAGCACAGCTCGCGCAGGGCGAGGCATCTCACGACTCGGTCGAATACAAGACCATCTTCGCTGTTGGCCTGCTCCTGTTCCTGATGACGCTGTCGCTAAATCTGGTCGGCCACTGGGTGGTCCGCCGGTGGAGGCAGGCTTACTAATGGCCCACTTATCCAATAGCTTCAATCCGAGACTGGCCCGACGCAAGACTATCGGGGGAATCTTCTACTTCCTCTTCGTGGCGGCGGTCATGGTCGGTATCGTAGGCTTGGCCGTGCTACTTATCCAGACCGCAGTGGTAGGGTTGCCGTGGCTGGACTTCGACTTCCTGACCAACTACATGTCAAGGAAGCCCGAGCTTGCCGGCGTGAAGGCCGCCGTCATGGGTACGCTCATAACGATTTTGTTTACGGCGTTGTTCACGGTGCCCATTGGAGTGGGCGCGGCTATATACCTCGAGGAGTACGCTCCAAAAAACCGGTTCACCCAGATCATCGAAGTCAACATTTCCAACCTGGCCGGCGTGCCATCCGTCGTGTACGGCCTGTTGGGACTGGGAGTGTTCGTGCAGCTGATGTCGCTTGGCAAGGTTGTGCTGGCAGGTGCGCTGACGCTGACGCTGCTGGTGCTGCCCATAGTGATACTCGCTTCCAGAGAGGCGATCCGGGCGGTACCCAACGAGTACCGCCTGGGCGCGTTCGCGCTGGGTGCCGACCAGTGGCAGGTCATCAAGAGTGCGGTATTGCCGTCTGCCCTACCGGGCATCCTGACGGGGACCATCCTGGCGCTGTCCAGGGCAGTGGGAGAGGCTGCTCCGATCCTGGTAATCAGTGGGCTGGTGTATGTGACGTTCGTGCCAGGTCCTTTTGATCGATTCACGGTTCTGCCACTTCAGATATTCACCTGGGTTGGTCGCCCGCAGGACGAGTTCAGATCTCTCGCCGCAGCCGGAATCTTAGTGTTGCTGATAATTCTGCTGTCGATGAACGCCGTCGCAGTTTTGCTGCGAAACAAATACCAGATCAGATCAGAGGACTAGAGTGACGCAGACTGCCCCAATTTTCAAAGTCAACGATCTCGACCTGTACTACGATGAGTTTCGGGCGCTGAGAGAGATCAGCATGGAGGTCAAGCGATACTCGATCACCGCGCTGATCGGACCGTCCGGGTGCGGTAAAAGCTCCCCTGCTGCGCTGTTTCAACCGGATGAACGACCTCATACCAGCGGCCCGAATCGACGGACAGATCCTGTTCGAAGGCTCGGACCTGTATGACAACGATGTGAACGCGACCGAGATCCGCTCAAAGATCGGCATGGTGTTCCAACGTCCCAATCCGTTCCCCAAGTCCATCTACGACAACGTCGCTTTTGGTCTGAAGGTCAACGGCTTCCAAGGCGACATGGACGAGGCCATTGAGCGTTCCCTAAGACAGGCGGCACTTTGGGAAGAGGTCAAGGACCGACTCAGAAGCAGTGCACTCGAACTGTCGGGCGGACAGCAGCAGCGACTGTGCATCGCCCGCGCGCTGGCGGTAGAGCCTGAGGTTATCCTCATGGACGAGCCGGCGTCCGCGTTGGACCCAATCGCAACGCTAGCAATCGAGGAGCTGGTCCGGGAGCTGAGCGAGCACTACACGATAGTCATCGTAACTCACAACATGCAACAGGCCGCACGGGTGTCCCACGAGACAGCGTTCCTGATGATTGGTGAGGACAGGGCCGGCTACCTCGTCGAACATGGAGACACCAACCAGATCTTCACGACTCCCAAGCACGAGCGCACGGAGGCGTATATAACGGGCCGGTTCAGCTAGTGTGCATCCAGTTGACACCCACCACAGCGAGGCAATAGAGGAACGCACCTCCACGTAAGTCCTGGATGAATTTTCGAAGTACTGAACTCGGGGCAATAACTACAATTCTGGATTCCGGCCTTAGCCGGATTGACTGCAAGTAGGGCGGCTTAGGAGGTAACGATGCTACGAGCGCCAAGAGCTGAATTCGACAGAGACCTAAGAGCCCTTCAGGATGAGTTGCTGGCACTTGGCGGCATGGTCGAAAAGGCCATCTCCAAGTCCCTCGACGCGTTGAAGAACCGTGACCGTGAGCTTGCTGCTGAAGTCGTCCGAGAAGACGACATTATCGACCAGATGCGCTTCGCACTCGAAGAGAAGTGCATCGACCTTATCGCCACGCAGCCCCTGGCGGGAGACCTACGCATTCTGGTGACCGTGCTGCACGTCTCGGTCGAACTGGAGCGGATCGGCGACTATGCCGAAGGTATTGCAAAGATCAGTCTGCTGATGGGCGACGAGCCTCCGCTCAAGCCATTGATAGACATTCCCAGAATGGCAGACCGGGCAATGGATATGCTCCGCCGCAGCCTCGACGCCTTCGTCGACCGCGACACCGACGCCAGTCAGCAAATTTGCGACGACGACGACGAGGTTGACGCGTTATACGAGCAGGTGTACCGGGAACTCCTGACGTATATGCTCTCGGATCCCGGCGCAATCAGGAGAGCGACGTACCTACTATGGGTCGCCCACGACCTCGAGCGCATCGCCGATCGTACCACCAACATCGCGGAGCGGGTCATCTTCCTGGTAACCGGGCAACTGGTCCAAACGGGTGTGTCCACCTGTTAAGACCGGATTACTCTGAGGCGTGGCTCGACTCGGTCACAGCAGACCGGTACTATGTTCGGTGCATCTCCGATGAGTATCCAAACTCCACAGGCGCTGGACGGCGTCCGAATCCTTGACTTTTCCCGCATCTGGGCAGGACCCCACTGCACCAAGCTGCTCGCTGACATGGGGGCTGAGGTCATCAAGGTAGAGTCGGCCCGCAACTGGGACCCCCACCGGATGATAGTTGGCTCCGGAAACCTGCCTGACGGCGAGCAGGGAGACGACCCCTGGAACAGGTCGGGGTGGTTCAATACGCTGCACATGTCCAAGTACGGCATCACTTGCGAGATTCGGCATCCCTCCGGGAAGGCAGTACTGGAGGAGCTGGTGTCCATAAGCGACGTTGTTGTCGAGAACTTCAGGGCCGGGCTGATGGCGCGCAGGGGATTTGACTATGAGACTCTGCGGAGTATCAGGCCCGATATCGTCGTGCTGTCGATGCCTGCGTTCGGCAACACCGGCCCCTGGCGAGACTTCATTCAGTATGGAATCGGGCAGGAACAGATGGGCGGCATCTCGTCCATGAACGGGTACCTAAACGAGGACGGCCCCGTGAAGTCGGGAGTAAACTTCGGAGACCCAATCAGCGGGGCACATGCCGCAGGGGCGGTGCTGTCGGCGCTGTACCGTCGTCGTCGGACCGGGAAGGGGGCGTTCATCGATGCCTCACAGCTTGAATCGTCGATCTCGGTAGTAGGTGAACACATAATCGGCTACCAGATGGATGGAAAGCCGCCTGAGAACCGCGGCAATCGCCACCCTGCCATGGCCCCGCATGGCGCTTACCCGTGTCGAGGGGACGACAGGTGGATTGCCATTGCAGTTAGCAGGGATGAAGAGTGGGCGCGCCTGTGCGGAGTCATGGACAGGCCGGAACTCGTGGCCGACGAACGCTTTGCGGACATCCTGTCCCGCCATCGAAACCAGGACGTCCTTGACGAGATCATCGGAAAGTGGACGGCCGGGCAGGAGGGATGGGAACTAGCTGAGAGGCTTCAGGGAGAAGGCGTAGCTGCCGCTCCGGTGATGGCCGGAGGGGACATATTCAACGATCCTCACTACCAGGAGCGCGGACTGCTGGAGTTGGTGGACCATCCGTCTGCCGGTGTGTACTTCCTGCCGGGAGTTTCGTGGAAGATGTCAGCCACGCCAGGGTCGGTCAGATGGCCAGCACCGCGTCTTGGTGAACACAATGAGAAAGTGTTCGGACAGCTACTTGGGATGACCGATTCAGACATCGCTCGGCTCGCTCAGGATGGAGTGAGCGGGACGGAGCCGATCAGATGATCCCGGAACAGTGCCAGCCGTTGTTGCCCATTCGTTCCTCTGATATACTAATGCCGGTTTCGGAAGCTGTCCGAGAGGTGGGTTTTCGAGTCCGATCAGGTACGCGGCGATGCTGCCGTCACCGTATGTCCACAAGCAGGACACGGCTTTCCAGCCCATCGTCGTAGCCATGTTACACAGCCGACCCATACTTCCACTCAGGGAAGTGTTGCGAAACAAGGAGGTAACGATTGAAGTGGATCGACTATGAGGCTCCCACCTCTGTAAGGGAAGCGGTTGACCTGTTGAATGAGGCAGGGGACCGTGCCCGACCATTGGCGGGAGGCACAGACATCCTAGTTCAACTCAGGGGCCAGGGGTTTGACCTGGACCTAGTGGTGGACGTCAAGAACATACCCGAGCTCAATGAGCTCACCTACGACCCGGACAACGGGTTGACAATAGGCGCGGCGGTACCGTGCTACAGGATCTATGGTAACTCGACGGTGCGGAGCGTATATCCAGGCATCGTTGACGCCGCGAACATCATCGGTGGCACGCAGATACAGGGACGCGCCTCACTGGGCGGCAACCTGTGCAATGCGCCCCCAGCGCCGACTCGGTTCCGGCGATGATCGCCTACAGTGGCGTTGCCCGAATTGCAGGCCCGAACGGCAGCCGCGAAGTCGCCCTTGAAGACTTCTGCACTGGTGTCCGCCGGACTGTGCTGGAGCAGGGCGAGGTCCTAGTTGCTATGCACTTCCCTACGCCAGCGGCCAACTCCGGCGCGAACTACATTCGCTTCATACCAAGAAACGAGATGGACATCGCGGTGGCCGGTGCCGGTGTATCAGTGGAACTGGACAACGGCAACATTCAGTCTGCCAGGGTGACGCTAGCGTCGGTTGCGCCGACGCCATTATTCGTCGCCGAGGCTGGCGAAGCGATCGCCGGCAAGCCAGCGACCGAAGAGACGGTCCGGATTGCGTCCGGAATTGCCAGGGACGCAGCCGTACCGATCACCGACATGCGCGGCACCATCGAGTACCGCAAGCATCTGTGCGAGGTGCTTACCCGCCGAGCGCTGCTGACCGCCATCGAGCGAGCCAATAGCTAAGGAGAACTAGATTGCCCGCCAAGACCTATGTACAGTCCATAATCAACGGTGAGCACATGGATTTCCTGTGCGAGCCTCGCCAGAGCCTGCTCGAAGTGCTGCGAGACGTCGTCGGCCTGACCGGTACCAAGGAAGGCTGCAACGACGGTAACTGCGGCGCGTGCACTGTCGAATTCGACGGGCGCATAGTGACCTCCTGTCTCGTCCTCGGCGTCGAGGCTGACGGCAAGGAGATCACAACAATCGAGGGAGTCGCCGAGGGCAGCACACTGCACCCGTTGCAGCAGGCGTTCCTGGAGAACGCCGCACTGCAGTGCGGGATCTGCACTCCAGGCTTCATCGTTGCCGCCAAGTCGCTCCTCGAACAGAACTCTGACCCGTCGGAGTACGAGATCCGCTTCTGGCTCGCTAACAATCTCTGCCGTTGCACCGGCTACGACAAGATCGTCCGCGCGGTCCAGGACGCGGCTGTGAGAATGCAGGAGGCGTAACCTATGACACAAACTCTAGACTACGAGCCAAACATGGTCCTGGCCACCCAGACTTATAACGTGGTGGGCACCCGTCCGGTAAGGCACGACGGCGCCGACAAAGTGACGGGACGCGCGCTCTACGGCGCAGACTTCGACACCGCCGGTCTGCTGCACGGGAGTATACTGCGCAGCCCATACGCCCATGCGCGTATCAAGAGCATCGACACCTCTGCGGCAGAGGCGCTTCCGGGCGTTTTAGCCGTGGTGACCAACGCGGACTTCGGCAGTGAAGAAGACGCAGTCGTCGATTTCGGAGAGGGCGCGACCAGCCTGAAGTGGCTGCGTGACAACGTGCTCGCTTCAGACAAGGCCCTTTACCGCGGTCACGCCATTGCAGGCGTAGCCGCATCCAACCCTCACGTCGCCGAAGAAGCAGCACAGCTCATCGACGTGCAGTACGAAGTGCTACCCCCCGTCATCACCGTCGAAGACGCGATGGCCGAGGGTGCGCCGATCCTGCACGACGACCTCAAGACTGAGGAGCTCGGCGAGCAGACCGATAAAGTGAGCAACATCGCCCAGCACTTCCAGCACAAGAAGGGCGATACCGCAAAGGGATTTGAAGAGGCCAACGTGATCGTGGAGCGGGAGTACCGCAACAAGACGGTCCACCAGGGCTACATCGAGCCTCATAATGCGACCGCGCTGTGGAACAACGACGGCAGACTGCACATCTGGTGCAGCACGCAGGGCGCGTTCACGGTGCGCGACGCGATGGCGCAACTTCTCGAAATGCCGGTGTCCCAGATAAGGGTTATCCCCATGGAGATTGGCGGCGGCTTCGGTGGCAAGATACCGGTATATCTCGAGCCGGTTGCCGCGCTGCTGTCCAAGAAGACCGGTCAGGCGGTCAAGATTCTGATGAGCAGGGCCGACGTGTTCGAGGCCAGCGGTCCGACATGCGGATCCTGGGCCCGCGTAAAGATAGGCGCCAAGAGCGACGGCACGATGACGGCAGCCGAGGTTGAACTGGCCTGCGAAGCCGGAGCCTACCCAGGCTCACCTGTCGGGGCCGGCGCCATGTGCGCACTCGCAGCTTACGACCTCGAAAACGGGACAGTAGACGGCTATGACGTGGTTGTGAACAAGCCAAAGACGGCCGCATACCGCGCCCCCGGCGCTCCCAACGCCGCATTCGCAGTCGAGCAGGCAGTGGACGAGCTGGCCGAGAAGCTCGGCATGGACCCGATCGAACTGCGGTTGAAGAACGCTGCCAAGGAAGGCACGCGTCGTGTCGATGGTCCAACGTTCAACAGGGTCGGGCTAGTCGAAACGCTGGAAGCGATGAGAGACCACCCGCATTACAACGCGCCTTTGGGTGAAAACCAGGGTCGCGGAGTCGCAGTGGGATTCTGGTTCAACATCGGGTTCGACTCCGCAGTAAATCTGGCGGTAAACGCCGACGGAACGGTCAACCTTACGGAGGGCTCCACAGACATCGGTGGAACCCGTGCTTCGATCGCCATGCAGGCGGCTGAGGTTCTGGGAATCGCCGCTGAGGACATCCGACCAACGGTCGTGGACACAGACTCGATCGGCTACACCGCGGTAACAGGCGGGAGCCGGACGACGTTCGCCACCGGCTGGGCGGCCTACGAGGCAGCACAGTCTGTCAAGCAGCAGTTGATCGAGCGAGCTGCCACGATCTGGGAGGTCGACGCGGACTCGGTTGAGATGACCGACGGGGCAATCAGTTCAAAGTCAGATCCTGAACTGAGCATGACGTTCAAGGAACTGGCAGGACAGCTTGGCAGGACCGGCGGGGGAATCACCCGGCACGGCGTCCGTCAACCCAACCGGAGTTGGCGGTTCATTTGCCGGCAACATCGTCGACTTGGAGGTCGACCCGGAGACCGGCAAGACCGAAGTGGTCCGTTTCACCGCTTTCCAAGACGTTGGTAAGGCCATACACCCGTCTTACGTCGAGGGGCAGATGCAGGGCGGCTCGGTACAGGGTATCGGCTGGGCACTCAACGAAGAGTACTACATGAACGATGACGGCGGCATGGACAACTCGACGCTGCTCGACTATCGATGCCAACCAGCCTCGACCTGCCGATGATCGATACGGTTATCGTGGAGGTCGCAAATCCGGGCCATCCGTTTGGCGTACGTGGTGTGGGCGAGGCGAACATCATTCCTCCCACCCCTGCGGTCGCCAACGCGCTGCGCGCGGCCATCGGCACCCGCCTGTTCGAGACGCCAATGAACCCGGTAGCGATCACCGCAGCTTTGGGCAACGGAGGCTAGGCATACTGAAGTAGGCCAGCCGAAATAAGCACAAGCAAGCGCACGAGGGCGGGTTTCTTAACTGAGACCCGCCCTTTTGCCAGACTCACTTTTCGTGGGTCTCCAACGGTCATAGGAGGGACAACAGGATGGCTACAGTCTACATCCCTTCGCTGATGCAGAAGCTCAGTGACGGCAAGAGCAAGGTTGAGATCGAAGGGGCAACAGTACGCCAGATCGTCAACAACCTGGAAGCGCAGTATCCGGGTTTCAAAGAGCGCCTCGTTGATGACGGACGAATCAAGGGGAATATCTCGGTCGCCGTCGACGGCGAGATCACCCCATTGGGGATGCTCGAGAAGGTGGCGGAAAACAGCGAGGTCCACTTCCTTCCCGCACTAGGCGGCGGAGCATGACGTCCGACTCATTCCAGCCGCTCGATGAAAACTGGCAGACTGGACTCGTCATCGTAGCTCATCCTGACGACATCGAGTACGGTGCCGCAGCAGCAGTCTCGAAATGGACATCAGAGGGCAAGAACGTAGTTTACCTACTTGCTACTCGAGGCGAGGCCGGAATAGACGGCATGGACCCGGAGCAGGCCCGAGAGGTCCGCACTCGCGAGGAGATCGAGGGAGCAGCAGTTGTAGGAGTCGACACAGTCGAGTTCCTGGACTACACGGATGGCGTTGTCGAGTACGGGCTGCCACTGCGCCGGGACATTTGCGCACGCAATCCGCAGACACAGGCCCGACGTGGTCATTACTGGCAACATGGAAATGCGCTTCGGTCAAGGCCTGGCCAACCAGGCTGACCACCGGGCAGTCGGGCTGGCGGCGCTAGACGCATCCCGAGACGCAGGCAACCGGTGGATCTTCCCTGAACTTCTCAAGGAAGGACTGGAGCCGTGGAACGGCGTGAGGATGCTGCTGGTCAGCGGTTCCCCCAATCCAACTCATGCGGTGGATGTGGGCGATCATGTGTACAAGGGCGTCGAGTCGCTCGAAAAGCACGACGCGTATCTCAAGGGTCTTGGGACGGACGTGGACCCTGAGACGTTCCTGACCATGAACGCTAATGCGACAGGGATCGAGTTCGGGTGCGATTACGCGATCAGCTTCGAGGTGTACGAGATCTAGGAGTACTCCCTGTATAGAATAACTACGTGAGCTGATGGAGTTCCAAGGGTGACTCGAGGAGAACAGAATGACAGACAGAGAGATCAAGGGCGTAATTGTTCCGATGGTGACGCCGCTGAACCCGGATGAGACGGTGGACATCGGTTCGCTGCGCAGATTGGTCAACCATCTGATCGACAACGGAGTCCATGGGCTATGGGCATCCGGCACGACCGGAGAGTTTGCAAACCTGCCTGACTCGGAGCGGATCCGCGCAATGGAGGCGACGGTTGACGAGGTCGGCGGTCGGGTTCCTGTGATCTGCAACATATCCAGTACATCTACCAAGCTGTCCGTGGAGCTTGCCAGCGAGGTTCGCGAGCTTGGAATGGACGGGATCGCGCTGACGCCTCCGTATTACTACCCGGACTCGCAGGATGAGTTGGCGGACCACTATAGATACGCGCAAGATCAAATTGGACTGCCACTGTGGGTCTATAACATACCGCAGACAGTCAAGACAGTTGTAGAACCAGGTACTATTGCTACGCTCGCAGCCGAAGGGACCGTAGTCGGTGTGAAGGACAGTTCCGGCGCCGGAGAGTTGCTGGCCCAACTTAACGTGCTATGCGACCAGGGTGAAATCTCTCTTCTAAGGTTCCTGGGCACGGTTTTCCGGGTTGCGAGCGCAGGCTCGGTCGGTGTTCACGGCGTCATTCCCGGCATCGCGAACCTAGTCCCTAATGTCTGCGCACGGGGTTGGGAAGCTGGGGAGGCCGGAGATACCGAGACCGTGCGCGAGTGCAACGCCAAGTTGATAACGGCGCAGAAGGTCGGAGCGGTCGCAAAGGGTGGAGGCGCCAATGCTGCCAGCTTTGGTGGCATGAAGTCCGCACTCAAGCACATGGGCGTCATCGATCATGACACCACTTCCCGTCCCTTCCGGCCATTGACTGATGAAGAGAAGGCGGAGATTCCAGCGATACTGGAAGAGTTGGGGCTGGTGTGATGTTAGAGAAGGTGTTATTTAGACTGTTACCTGTCGGTTCAGTCAATACTCGAATTGAGCGTATCGCAAGGCCACCTGGTCAAGGTGGGTGTCAAAGCTGTCTCTCCTCGT